CTCTCCAAACACAGAGCAGGGAGTGGGACAGTCCCTGCAGCAGGGACTGCTCCAAGCACCTTCATCTGCCCAGCTTTGGATGGAGCAATTGCACCCAGCCACAGGCAGAATTAGCACAGCTCTTTCACAGATCAAGGCACCCTGGAGCTCAATTGGAAAACTACAATAAAATAAAACAGGACCTTTGCTTACCTCGAGCCCGACACCTTCGTTTTTACTGTGAGATCTTCCACTTTACCAATACAAATTTGAGAGTTGAGAAAACCCTAAAACAAACCTGCAAGGAAACCACTTAAAAATCATCACACACCAATAACAGAATGAGTTGAATTCCATTTCAGGAAGAGATGAAAAAGGGCAAATATAATGGGAATCTCCTGTTTCACACCAGCTTGTGAAATGCCCAGCTGTGTTAGAGAGCGGGGACTGTGCAGGGTATTTACTGCCACTATGATTTCCTGAATTAAAACCCAGCACTTACAGGATCACACTGGTTTGGTTATCTTTTAATTCACTGTGTTTTTAAATCACCTCTAAGTCACAACATTATCACTTCAAAGCACAAACCTTAGTTATTTAACACCCTACAGCAGCACCTCGTGCACACTGTACACATGTACCTGGTCCCTAGAGCGATTCCCACCATAAATAAAGTTATTAGAGCAGCTCTTCACTCACAGCTCAGGGCCACACTGCACCAAGCCCTGAACAAACAAGCAGAATAGCCTCTGTCCTGGGCACCTCATCCATCTGCTCCTGTTCTCATTTATCTCACTTCAACAAGGCAAAACCAGCAGTTCCTATTCCTGTGTCTGCTGCAACACTGAACATGACATTATAGTTAACAACAGCTTTAACTCATTTTGTCTAATTTGAAATCTCAGGTTAAAAAAAAAAAATCTAAGTTTTCAGCAACTTCTTCTTTCAGAAAGTTTCCAATTTAGTGAGATCCATTTAAAAAACAGAGACATAAGGCCTAAAGGGCATGGACTGAAAAAAAAAAAAAAATTAATACATAGAGGCTGTAAGGGAATCATATGACAAATGTAACTAAAGCCAGACCACTGAATGAGTAGAAATCACCCAGCAAAAAAGATTGTGTAAGGGTAAAAATGAAGTGTGATAGTCCTGTCACCTTTGGGGCTTCAAGGGATGAGTAATGAAAAGTCCTGGATTAGAGCTCATAGAAAACAGGGCTGAGAGGAATCTCCAGAGGTTATCTGGTCCATCTCCATACCCCACAGCAGGAGCAGCTCTACAGATATCATTCCTGACAGATGTTTTTCTAACATCTTAAAGACCTGCAAGGATGGAGTTGCTACAACCCCCATAAGCAACCTAATGGTATATTTAATCCTAGAAAGTTTTTGTCACGAAAGTAAATCTCACTTGCTACAATTGAAGCCCATCCTTTCTCACCTCATCTCCTATGGACAAAGAGTGTTTTCCCTTCCCTGTACAGCAGGAGAAAAAGGCAGGAATGTTGTGACAGACTCAACCGCCAGGTTCTAATTTTTGCTACTGCCTTCCCTCTACTCTATTTGGTTGTTAATCTGATTTTTTTGATGGCATATTAAAAATAACATGTGGAACAGAATAGAAACTTTAACTGATCTGTCCTGTTCCAAACAGTCACTCGTGCACACAGGAGGACATGGACCTGCTGGGGTCAGTCCAGAGGAGGCCACGAAGATGCTCACGGGGCTGGAGCACCTCTCCTATGAAAACAGCCTGAGAGAGTTGAGGTTTTCAGCCTGGAGAAGAGAAAGCTCTGGGGAGACCTTTAAGCCCCTTCCAGTGCCTAAAGGGATTCAGAGAGCTGGAGGGAGACCTTAGAAAAGGGCAAATAGTATGGAACAAGGTGTAATGGCTTGTAAAGGAGGACAGCTTTAGCTGAAAAGGAAGTAATCCTTCCATGTGAGGGTTCACAGGCACTGGCACAGCGTGCCCAGGGAAGCTGTGGCTGCCCCAGCTCTGGAAGGGTCCAAGGCCAGGTTGGAGAGGGCTTGGAGCAACCTGGGATAGTGGGAGGTGCCCTGCCCATGGCATGGGAGTTGGAATAAGATGACCTTTAAGATCCAATTCAGCCCAAACCATTTTCTGGTTCTATGTGGATACTCTCTTCTCTGTAAAGATGAAGGGAGCATCATAATTCTTCCTCCCATGAGCACAGAGCTGGTAATTCTGTGAGGATATGGAATGCAGCAATTCTCAGCTCTCTGACCCTTTCCTCTTCAAGTCACAGGCTCTTGCCAGTAGACAACACTAAAAAATGGGAAGGGGGAGAAACAAACAAAAGAGAGAAGCAGCTGTTGACCATGTTTTCAAGGCACAAGTCTCTAGGTAACTCCAGGAAAAAAAAGCCAAGTTCTCCAGTCAACTGAAAGCTGTGGGCTTGATGCAGATACTGCCTGGGAAATGACAGTGGACTGTGTTACACAGGATCTCTCATCTGACCTGCAATATTAGGGCATTAAGTATGAGTCAAGCAGGCTTTTGAGAGCAAGAAAGCAGGAGCTGGTAAAAGATATATTTTCTTAATAAACACAAAATTATAAGCCAGTACTTTCTGGATATTTATACAAGGCAGTAAAACCACAGGAATGAAAGCTGTGGGGGTCTTTATATTTACTTGGTAAGCTTTCTTTGTGCACTCAAATCCAAAGCTTCACATCTTCAGGCTGTTCTCCCCAAATATGTGGGCAAGCATTTTTTCTAGGATGACAGCTCAGATCTTTGCTTTATCACACCACTCTGACAGCTAAGGTATTTCTAAAAAACACTAAATATCTTGGAATTCATAACATCAGTATGATGTTCTCCAACAGGAGAATTCCTGAGGGTATCTCTGACTCAAACAGCACTTTTTTTGTTTATTAATCCAATGACCTGCTCTGTTTCCTAATGCCAATTAAATATCCAAGAAAAGAGATCAAGGAGGGATGTAAAAGTTGTTCCACTTCCCTTATGCCTTCCAGCCAAAAGCTTGTCCCCTTTTCTGAGCCTTTTATAGTCTAGGCAGGTCTCACCAGCATCACCAGCCAAGGGAGAGCTCTTGCCTAAGGAACTGTCTGCCTAAACTCCTCAATTTATTAGAGCTTACACACATCAGGGAGCAAAGAGGTGCAGTCAGCAAAGGTAAGTTGCAGAAGAAAGAAAATAAAAACCATTCATTATACACACAAGCCTTGACTGCAGAATTGAAAGTTATGCAAAACAAAGGGCCCTGATCAATCACTAATTATACCATGTATCTCTTAAAAGCCATACATTCACTTTACCCACCTCAAAGTCACAGCCAAGATGATGTGGTCACTCAATCTCACAGCTTCAAAGCACACAGTAATATGTTTTCCCCCCTTCTGGATCAGTTCCTTTCTCTGATCTCTTTAGGTACATTGACTTATTGCAATTAGGAATACACATTTAGCAGAATGGAAATTAATGGACCTACATAAAAGGAGTGGCTGGCTCTCTAAGCAATCCCAATGCCAAACTCCTTAGTAAGGAAAAATTTCCATTCAAAGTAATGGGAATACAAAACACTTTAGTCTTGGCTCTTTGGGATTGATCTTTAGAATAAAGCTGCTTCTATTTCAGTACCAAATCAAATAGCCAGACTTTGCTAAGTGGTAACTCTACTTTTGTGCTCACCAGGTGCTAAGCCCTGACAAAAAATGTGAAAGAAAGTGGGTTTAAATGTGATGCCATACCTGTGGTGTTCAATGACTGATCTTGAGTCTTCTGGGGACAAAAAGGGGAGGAAGGAAACAAAAACCTAACTGTACTTGTAGTCTACTTTCCTTGCTTTAAAGTGGACTTCTTTCACCCCTCCAAAAATTAGACCTGTCCCACTGTTCCAGCTAAGAAAAAGAGATCAAATGCCATTGCCATGAAGACATTGATGGGAGCTTGGATCCCACTCATCAAAATTTTAACAGGATCTTGACATGCTCAAAATTAGATGTTGTTTTAAAAATAATTTTAAAACCCCAAAACACAAGACTCCTGCCACGTTCTCTGAGCTCTTTTCAGTCAAGACTTGCCTTTGAGTCAAATGTGTCTCTTAATTAACAACTAGTCTTTCGAAAATTAACAAAGGATAGCAGTACTAAAGGCTATGGAGCCTACAAAGAGAAACAAGAATAATGTTGTTAGCTTTTTGCTATGCTAGATGAGACATTACTGTGCCAGAGGCACAAGTAATGGAAATGTACTTTTATATAAATCTCCTTTCTTTGCTTGGATTATTTTAAATGACTCCACTACAGTGTATATTAACCTAGCCACCAACCTTCCTGCAGTCAGCTTTCTTTTTACAGTTTATTAGGAACACAGCCACTGAGGAATCACCAAAGGATAGTGAATATTGTCATACTCTTCCTTTTGTTTGTTAAACACACAGAATGGCCGCACAAGAAACTGAGCAAAAAAAATTCTAGGAGGCAAATCTTCTGTCCCTGTCACCAAACATTGAACCCTTTGCATCAGATCCGACATAGGAGCAGAGTTTCCTCACTTTCAGCAGGGCAGCAGCGCCCTTGGCCTTGGCCAGGGATTACAATGGACAAGCACCTGAGAACTGCAGCTGTTTTCTTCTCCTTTCCTCTCTAAACTGATTTATAAATGGCTTTTTGCAGAAGCTGAAGCCCACAGTGTGACTGGTCAAGCTAAAACAGATCAGGGGTCAAGTCAGAAATCCACTCCACACTTCTCAAAAACATCTTTTACTGTTCCTTCCTACTCCATCCCAAAGCTGTGCCCAGCACTGACCAAACACAAAGCTACACTGCTACAGGGGTGAACACTGCCCTTCCTTTTCCCATATTAAAGTTAGATGTTGCAAGGCTTCACTTCCCCAGGAAAGTACAACTGTGTGAACACACATAATATTCAAAACCAAGAGCTAAATATCTTATCACTTTCTTTTCCAGTACGTTGCATTCAACACTTTTCCTAATTTTCCTACCCTAGAGCACAGACAGCAGCATCCTACTTACTCTGTGAGGGTACAGGGGAAGTTCAGCATTTAGCAATGGTGAGAAAATTGGTTCAGATCCCTGAGGGAAGGTGCTGTAGAAGTGCATTCAATTCAGTTGTAATTCAATCCAGTTTGCTGGAGCTGAAAGAAAACAAAACACTTTCAAAGTTAAAGGGAAAGCTAGCATTTATTTTTTTATATGTGCGTGTACATATATAGACAAACACACATACATACAAATATTTTTATGTAAACATATATTTATGTACATTTGCATAATGTGTTTTATTTTTGTATGTTGGCATGTACACATACACCCCTACACCTGCAAACACACACAAAGCCGTAAAACTTTAGGAAGTGAAATTTCTAAGTAGAGTACTAGAAAGACAAGGTCAGCATAAGGCAAGTTCTGCCAGGCATACAGAAATACAAACTGCGTGGAAAAGAATAGTTAAAGGCATTTTCTTCTACTATCATTTTTTTTTCCTCAGGATATGAACAAAATCAAAGCAATGAAATCATTATCTTGAGGAAAAAAACCCACAGTAATTGTGCTTAATCCTCTGAGTTGCTATAATGAATACACCTAATTTACTTTGACTAAGAGAAAATGTATTTTTTTCCTCCAAAGCTGACAAAGGTTGAATTCAAAGAAACCAAACTAACTCCCACTGTACTTTCCTCAAAAGAGAGGGAAAAAATAGCCCGTGGTGTGCAATTATCTAAAGGTAAACAACCAGAAAAGCCCACTGCAAAGTGTACCTGTGATTTATAATGCTGAAGAGCTTCCGAAGGGGAGAGCCTGTAACAAGTTTTCTCCCCACCTTTATCTGCATAAGGCAAATTGCATGATGCGGAGATGAGTTCTCCCATTTACACTCTGCAGTATCAATATTTTGTCCCAGGAAGTTCAGTTCACAGCACAAAAACTTTCCAGCTGCACTAAACAAGGCAGAAGAACTGGTTCAGACAAGCAAATTACCTATCTGCTCCTCTCTGACCTCCAGCACCTTGCAAAAATTGGGTGGAGGAAAGAGCTGCTGGTGCTGCTGCCAGCAGATCTCCCTGAGCTCCTCAGCCCTGGCAGAATTATAGGGGCAACTTTACGGATGGATGAACTGTTCTGGAAGAATCTTTCTAATGCAGCTGACACACACAGGCTCTCCTCCAACACCAGGGAAGCGTGTCCCACGTGTTTGCTCCTCCTGTGTGGGATTTCTGCCGACAGCCCAGCAACATTTCTGGAGGGGAGTTTCTGACCAAGAGTGGAGCAGGGGTCAGTAAGTCCTGGGGAAACATGAGTGGGTGGGGAATATCCAGAACCAGTTTCCAGGCCAGACCCTCTCAAGGGCACTCCTGTAGAAATGTGGGCACATTTTTGTGGGGTACCAAAGAGCTGAAGAAGCAAAAGACTCATTTGTCTCTGGGAGAGATTGTTGAGCTAGGACCCTTCCAGAATTCTTGGTTCAACATTTCAACACTCAGTGATGCACGTTTCCTCAGTGATAAAGATGAGCATTTTCACCATTTTTAACATATACCAACTAAGAACACGAGCATTTTCACCATTTTTTACATATACCAACTCAAGACATGAGTGTTTTCACCATTTTTCACATGTGCCAACTCAACACGAGTGTTTTCACCATTTTTTACACATACCAACTCAACACATATATTCCCTTGTTTCAGAGTAAAATGGCATCAGTGCTTGTACCCAGAAATTCAGGAAAGGACAGGACAGAAAGGGCAAAGGCTGCCAAAGGTCAGTCTCTGAGATCAAAAGGAAAGGTGCCATAGGGAACATCCCTGCTCAATCCCTGAAACCTCAGCACTTTGCACTGAGATTTAGTGCCATATGTACTCAGCAGTACATACAGTGTTGACAAAGCTTTTATTTTTAAACAAATAAAGGCCAGAAAGTACAGATTTCCTTAACTCTCACATGGCTTCAATTATGCAGTGCTGCATCTACCATGTAAGCATATTTCCAGAGCTTTAGCATTTGACATTTTGAGATAAAATGTCATGAATAGTATTTGTGTACCTCTCTCCATCTGTGCCCCTCCACCCCTCCACTTCAACTTGAAATCGTTCAAAGCATCAGACCACTGGTTCAAACTATCCCTTTCTTTTACTTTCTTCAAGTTTAGGATCAAAAAACAGACAGACTTTAATGGTATCTTGCAAACAGTTTGCTCTAGGTCTCACTTCAAGAGCTTTTCTTCTCTAGTCTGCCCACTACACTAAGCTAATCAATGATTTTTCTGCTCATTAAGTACTGCTGGTGGAATCACTCTTTCCTATCAGGAAGACTCTGCTGCCGTTTGCTTCTCCTGCCTTTCCCCTTTCTAGCCCAGGACCACAACAGCCTCTGAAAGAAATCAATGGCCCCTGCTCAGGTCACAGCATTTTTGGCCTTTACATTGTGCCAAACCCGAGAGTCTCTCACAGCTGGAGACTACAAATTTCAGCTTCCTGTGCTTTCACTCTGATCTCCTCATGCTCCTTAAATCTATCCTCATTTGCTATGCCCTGAGCAAGAAATGAGAGGCAAACAGGAGGCACAAAATGCAGTAACAATTTTAAGTGAGCTTCTGTGAACTTCTGGACTGCCTTGGATGTGCAGCAGGGACACAGGAGACTGTTTTGCCAAGTCAAGCCAGAGGGAAGAAGGGGGAGAAGGAGTTTAATGGTATGGCATGTATGTGACTGGTTTCTCCGCTGGCACATGGATTTATCATCAAACTGAAGGAGTGCAGTCATTAATTTTATCACACTCTTCTGGGCATACAGTTGTGGTGAACCCACCTCCTGAAAAATAGATTTCAGATGCATTTTCTCTACCTGAAGGAGAACCTATATCCCAGCCACCCTCCTGTTCTTATCTGATACAAATATGCTGCTTTCCAATTCCACTCTATCTTGTCTGTACTTTTATCTAGCTTTCCTCTAATTGTACAGCTCTTCCTGAAAGGTCAATTGTTCCTAATCCAGCTGATGGCCTCCCAATGGAGTCTGAACTGATTATGAGCCCCTGCCTACTTTTAAGAGCGATGGTGAAGATGATGTTTGGCATTATTAAGATGTGATGTCCTGTCAAGGATGCCTTCACAACTGGAAGAGCTAATGTGACAGCTCTGAGCTTGGAGAAAAAAATAATAATAATAATAAAAAAAAAAGTTGCCTTTCTTCTTCTCTAATATTTGCCCTGTGCTGTCAGGCTGCACGAGGGGGTCGTGCTCGCATCTGTTATCCAGGGCCCTGAAGGAATCCTTCACAAGAGTGACTCTGCCTGCAAAGCAAGCAGGAGGAGTTTGAAGATGGCATGTGAAAAGCTGCCGTGGGTCTTCCAGAAATCAGAAGTCTTGGCTGTTCCTCTCCTGAGAGCTGACCTGGGGCACACGAAACCACAGAGCCTGTGAAACACGAAGCAATCACACTGAACTCCTGAAGCCATTTGCATTTTCAACAATTTCTCTTCAGAGAGATGCCCTGTGCCTACGGGAATATTTGCCTCTGTTCACAGCTGACTTTTAATCCAAGTTAGAATCTGTTGGCTCTTCTTTTTAAGTTGGCAGTGAAGCCGTGGCTCTGTTAGATAAATGGTCTTTTCTGTTGCTTCTTGTATAAAATTCCGGGAAGATGTGGCCTCCAACACCAAGATTGGTCCCAGAACACCAGGGCAGAAATAAAATAGTGTCAACTATTATTGAAAGTGCTCAGCAAATCCTACTCTGAGAGTAGCTGTTGAATAAAAATGCTCAGTCTGGCCAGGAAAAAAAGTATGAAATAAACTACAAATGTTGAATTATAACGCTTGAAATTCAGAAATATGTATTAATCCTTCAGATTTGTTACACTGATGTCTAGGATTAATTCTTTGGTTTTTGTTTTGGTTTGGGGATTTTTTTGTCACATGGAGACTTTACTAAAGCACTCAATTTTACATGTAAAAATAGCTTAGGACATGTGCAGAAGTACAGCAAAAGGAACATTTTCTAGAATGCAAATAACAAGGCTTTACAGTTTTGATATTGTTTTTTTTCATTGGGGGGGTTCATGGGATTTGTACTTGAGCTCCTTCTGGGCATTTAAGCTCATAAATACTACTGAAAATAGTAACAACCTCAAAGTTTCTGGTCCCTAGAGTTAATGTAATTAACACTGAAAGTCTTTGCTGATACAAATTAAATCAGATTGTGTCAGAGTTCACAAGAGGCAGCAAACCTCAAAAAAAGGTGATCTGTCCTGTCTGAGGTGTAACTGAGCACTCGTTTCCATGTAAGAATGTTATTAATAGATGCACAGCAGTACAGATGTACTGCTTTACTGAAACACTTTTAAAAGTAAAAATGGGGCACTTTAAAATGCATCTGCTTCCTTAAAGACCCTCAGCCCTCCCATCCAGCAAAGCTCTAAGAAAGGTGAAAAACCACTTGGAACTTCACTTAAAACACTCCTGTGTCCTACCACCAACTCCAGTCACTACAGCAAAATACTTTTCAAACTTCTCAGCAGATGAAAGTTAATACAGATGAAGGGATTACACAATACTGGAAGAGGGTGGCTAATCAATCTGTTTCTCAAAACAGGGTAGTTTTCATCAGAATGACAATAAGGGGGAAATAGCCACCCTAGAAAGTACTGGGATTTAAGAGTCTGGACTCCTCCACTCGATTCTGACATTCCTGCAGATGGGAGCATGAGAAAATTCAACATCTACATCTAGTAGATACATTGAATTATTCAAAAAGTAAAGGGCTAGATCTGGGTCAAGAAAACAGGACCAGAGGCCAGGTGTCAGTGCTGTGGTCAGCAGAGCACAGAATGGTGACAGTCACAGCAGAGCCTGCACTGCAGGCATTGAGAAAAGCTTCTGAAATAAGAGTGTGTTTCCAGAGAAACAAACTGGGTTAGGAGCTTAATTCCCCTTAAATGAATTGCCTTTCTAAATGCAGCAATGGCCTTTTTGCTCATCCCAAATATTAGAAGTTGCCCACAAAGCCCTACCCTCTGTGCCAAAGCAGTTACCTGCCATATTTCTTTCTCCAGAAATACATCAAAATGGGAAAATAAAAAAAAATAAAAATAAAAAAAAAATAGTTGATGCAATTTGTTCAACTGGTTGGACAGTT